TAACAATTTCACAAATAACTTATCATTGCAACAACAGCCATAGTTGGCTATACAGTCATTATGGCAACAACCATATTTACCAAGCAACTTTATATAGATTTGTTAATGTTAAATGAAGTGATATCAAAACATAGTGAAGCATGAACGTAATTTTAATAAAATATATACGACATATAAAAAAAATAATTTTTATTCTTTGAACATTAAACACCTTTGATTTGTTATAAGAGTAAAATAATTTTTGGTAGCAATGACGTCTTGTTGAGGATCCATGTTACAAAAAAAAACAATAAAATGATAATGTATTTGAGCTTGAGCAATCTCTTTGATTACTCTGTCAATATTAAATTTTAACCAATCAGCGCAGCTTTATGAAAAAAATTGGTGGTCACAGCTCCAGGTTTTTTTGACTGAAATGATGATCACAATCAATTTTTTTAGCCAATCAAATTGTTCGGTTAACTCATTAAGGTAGGCGCTTGAGAACAGCTTTAATTGAATTGTCTGAAAATCATTTGGCTAATTTTTTATTAAGTGTTCCAGGAATTATGAATGCTGTAAATAACTATATCATGATAAAGTCAATACAAACTAACAACACAATAAATTTAATAAAAACTAGATAAATTTACATATAAGAGTCCAAAATTGAAAATAATTATGAATGAGAGCCTAACTTAAAAGGACGATTTTAACACTCACCAGAGGTGAATTTTACTATATCACGTGATCCCAGTATACAACAAAGCATAGCCAGAATTAAAACTAATATAGGCCACAATTTATAACACTTTCAATACAACTTCAGTTTTGTTCGAACAACTGATGCAGGTGTAACTAGACTATTAATCACAATTTAATTATACTAAATAAAGTTACAAATTGATCACCAACATCATTTGTTTAATTTTTTATTATAAGTACTAATAAATTTGACCTGTTATCCTTTGCTTTGCAAAGGATAGTTTATACTTTCACTATAGCTGTTGTCTCTGCTTTAGCATTTTTCTACTAGCCTATATCTTGAAAGAAGACAATTGAATCGCTTCATCCTAACCCTAACCTTAAAAAAAAAAACTTTTAAATTATTTCACCCTAATCCTAACCTTAAACAAGAATGTTTGGATTTCTTTACTCTAAATCAACCTAAAAAAAAAAGACTTTTGAATCGCTTTACTCTTACTCTAACCTTAAAAAAAAACTTGTGAATCGATTCAAACTTAGCAAAAAACTTAAGTTAATAAACAATAAATTTGAAGGCACAAATTTGTTAATTACATATCATGTGTTCATACAACATAAATAATTCGATTAGTACAATGTATTACTTTTGTATGTCTACATTTTTCTTATTTTTGCTCTTATAACCTGGACATTTTTTTTGATAATATCTTAATGGCCACATAATAAACATTTACGTTGTGTTTGCGAACTTGTTTCACCATAGTTACTTTCTTGAACATCAGCTCTTTTCTTTAATACTTCTGCAAAGCTTTTTATTTTCTTCTTAGATGGAGCACTATGTATTTTAACAACCTTAGGTTCTGTTATTTGACTAATTAATTGCTGTTGTAAAGGAACTACTTTGTCTAATTCATTTTTTGTGTTATCATTACATGAATTATTAGAATCATGCCTTGTTGAAACTTTAGCTTGCCATTTTATTATAATAAAATTTTTTAACATTTGTATTAATTCTTCATCACTCTTAACTTCTAAGACAATATTAATTGCAGTTTTAAAAACAGAGAATGCAATCTCAAACTGATTTCTTAGGGGAGTAGCATGGCGAATAACATCATTATGCTCCAACTTCTAAAATTGTCACAGGCTTTGAAAAATAAAATTTGCTTCGGAGGGTAATGATAAAGTTTCAGTACATAGCTTTATAGTAGTTAGAACAGGTGAATTTTTAAGATAAGTATCCAATTGATCCACAATATTATTTTTATACCACCTAGTTGATATAATACTAATATAGAATTTCACATCACTTAAGTAGAGTATAACATGCCAGAAATGCTGACAGATTATCCCTTTCGTAACTGTTTCCATGTAAGTACAAAGATGGGTTCTGTCATTTAATAATATTATTATATTTTCTCGATATGAAAGTCTACTTATATGTCGTATTCTCTATGATTCGATTATACTTAAAACTTTAACTCCATTTAAAAGAGATTTTAATGTTATTTGTGATTCATCACTAACATCTTCAATAAAGGCATCATTAACTGTATCAATTTCTAAAATCTAAGAAAAAAAAAATTAGTAAACCAAAACTATCTCTTATTTACTAACTAAATAAAACTGAACTATACCTACCTCGACAGAAAATAGTACCAAGCAACCTTCATATGTAAGTGATTGAGAAATTTGAAATCGTTACCACAACAAAATAAGGGGAGTTAGAAATTGAATAAGGATTGCATCAATATTGGTAAAAAATTCTGAAGAAAGATGTGAAAGCCCAATCAGTGTATAAGGAGCTTTAAGATCAACCAATTTGTTATATTGTGATTCATCATCTAATCTTTTTTTAATTATTTTTTCAACATTATACAATATACTAGCACTATTTAATGATTTCTTAATTATACTATTAAATGACTCCACACTTTGAGTACTCTGGATTCCGGTATTAAATTGAAATAGTGCATAGGATTTAGCTCAACTAAAACGATTAGTATATAGTGTTCTTGTCATATAATCATGACATTCTGGAAATGTCTTTATTATAGACTTCCGACATTGCTCAAATAGTTCAGTATACAATACGTTCCTATATGAATAAAAAGCTTTGTTAAAAGCATTAAAATTTATATTTAATTTTATTTTAAGATGTTTGACAATGTTCTGTCAAATATGAAATAGGCAGTAAATGTGTCGTGTTGCTGGAAAAACATGTGAGGCAGCGTTAATTAGACTTGGTTTAGAGTCAGTCCAAAATGATATTAGGGCGATATCACTGGTTGTTTTCATTAAACATCGTAAAATCCAGACATATGTAGATGCCATTTCATTCTCAACTAACGCATTTGCTATATTTCAGAATTTTCCATAATTGTCCTTTATTATAAAGACGCTTAAATACATATTATATTTGTTAGTTTTACATGTATTGTTATTTAATACTACATTATGGAACTGCTGATACAAATCTTGTTAATCAGGAGACATCTAAAAGACATCTGCTAAATGACGCTCACTACCCAAATGTTTGATATATACTTTTCAATCTGGATTGAGAGCCATTTTTTCAAAGAATGCTTCTAGAAATAAACCAGAATCAGGCTTCTCATTTTTATAACATTCACACAAATGATAAATTGCATTATAGATGTCTTGTTTGTGAAAAATGTGCTGTGGATATTTTTTTTTTAGAACCTCAAATTATGTAATGGGCACTACCTTACATACTGTGAGAAATCTCAAATCCTTCATCATTTCATTACTGAGTTCTCGGTACTTGGCATTAAGGTAAGCTATTTGTTTAGGTTGTAATTTATGATCATGAATATCAACCAAGATTGTACAAAATATTTGTTCTACAGTCTTTGGAAAATTAAAATTGCAATGCACCCACAATTTATCTTGGCACTATCATATAAGCAGTGTAAATTTTGATCAATATTCTTCTGGCTACTATATGTACCACTTAATGAGCAATAAAAGGACTTGCAGCAGGTTATATTAGAGTTATTTGGATTCATATTATTTTGAAAAACCTGATAACCAAAACCTCGTTTTAAACAATACAGCTTCATAAATACATTAACAGACGACCAGTCATCAAAAACATCTCCTTTTTGAAGGTTATATTGATAATTAGAGGGAGAAGCAACATCTATATATTGCTGAATAAAATTAAGGGGTGTAACTTCTGAAGGTTGGTAAGTGTAAATAGGTGATGTAGTTTCAGTATACTGAAAAGCAGAAACAGGGAAAGCAAATTTAGCACACGTCAAACTGGGTGAAATTACTTTAACTTCCAGGCTGGTGGGTGTCTTATTAACTTCCAAAGCATAGGATAAGCTATAGGATATAACGTCAACTTCCAAACCAGATGAGGTTTTCTCAACTTCCAACACTGAAGAAGTAATTCCAACTTCTAAATTAGATGAAGCTTCCTCAACTTCTAAAATGGTAGTGGTGGTGATGGTGCATTCAACCTCAAAAGGAGGAAAAGTATGCTTAATATTTAAAATGGGGGAGTCAACATCGACTTCTAAAGTTGCTATTATTAGTTTGTCTTCCATTATTAATATAAAAAAGTGTAACAAATTAGTGTTAGTTTTACAAAAACTAATATAGTATGTATGTACTGTATATATGTATTACATATGCGATCACGTGTTATAGTTAAAATCACCTCTGTTTAAATCTAAATTAATCCTATTATTAAATATACTAAGTTGTTTTTCTAAATTTTCGAATATAATTTTAAAATTTCTTTATGCTATAGTAGTTATTTTTTAAAATATCAATAAAAGGAGTCCTTCTTCAATCTTTATTTTAGTCAATATCTTCTCTAGATTAGTTGAGTTAAGACAATCATAGTTTTATAGAGAAAAATAATTGCTCAGGCTTCTATACTTGTTTTTGCTAAACTTGCAATCTCTATCTTATTTTTTGCTATTTGTAGCAATAGTATATGCATATTGTTAATTATCCTTTTAGACATCTTTATAATTTGTAATATGTAGTATAATTTAGGAATTATATACATATTGTTTATATAGAACACTTGATTAATTGGCATCTTTTTAATAATAAAACCTTTAGATATTGATTATATAATTTCTTTTATCTTCTCTTTTATTTTGCTATTCAATCAGATTCTAAAGAATCCTGTTATCTTATTTTCTCTTTCTTCATATATTTACTTTTTTTTAAAAAAAATTTTTTTCTTATTTAAGTTTATCATAATTAGATTTATTTTTTTTTGTTAATCTGAATATTATTCATTTTGAAAATTCTTCTGCAATCTAGAATATTCTTTTTATCTGAATTTTGTTTTTTGCTATCTATATAGTATTATTTGCAAAAGCTACTACAGCTTGTCTTTATATATTTTTAATTATAAAGCTTAAATTTAGACTTAATGATATTCTATAAATTAATGTATATTCTAACTTACTATAGCATCTTCTTAGATTTTTTTAGAAGTAGATCATAGAAAATTTTTTAGACTAATAATAAAATTACTTCACTTTGTTTTATCCCTTTTTGTATTTTAAAAAAGTTTGTTAGATCTAAACTATAATAATTCTAAATTGTCAGTTTACAAAAAAATTAAATATAAGCTTAATTGTTATTTTAAACAGCTTGATTCTTTTTATTACTCTTTATAAAGTTTCTTTTTTTTATTTTTTTTTATTTATATCTTTGCAATGTTACAGAAGGATGGATTTTTATTAGATATTTTAGTAGTATATTCTTGGTTAGCGAGAATATATATAGCCATATATACAACTTTTGGTCACCTAATTTAAGTAGTCCAACCAAAAGTTCTATACTATATACTATATCTGTAACCTAACTAGAAGATTACCTATTTAAACCCTCTAATATCTTCGTTCTGCACTACCACTACAATTACACCAATCCATAACCTTGTGCTGCTTCTTATTGAAAACCACTCAGATCGACATGTGCTATACTACTTGAACCCTAATTTTATAAATAACCCAGTAGAGTTCTTATACTACTGGGTTGCTCTAAAGAGGGTATAGTATATACCTCCTAATCTTTTTATATCCTACACACTTCTAAATTAAACTATAAATACCTTCTGCAGCAGCTGAAACTACCACTAGCAGTCAGGGCGAATCATTAAACCGCATAATTCTGGTATTTGGTGCTCTTGCAAGGTTTATTTTGATCCTAATACCCACATCAAGCTGGTCCTTATACCGATCTCTCTCTAATTACCAAATCAGTTAGCCCGAACAGGTTATTATACCTAGACTTTAAATGTCTTTCAGTTTTACTTTCCTTGGTTTCTAATTCCATAGTATAGAACTTTTTCCTTCGGTATGACTTCAGCAGCCAGGTTGGTGGACTCTTTTTGCCCCAGAGTTTTCATCTGGTTCTTTGGTCTCTGGTTTCTAACTTTTCTGCAGTATCGTCGAAGACCTTCACTACCTCCTTACTCAGATCTTACCAAACAGGTTTTAATTATTTCAGTTCCTTAGATTTAGATTGGCCAAAAGCTTCTATTTCAAGATGATAGTACCAAGATTACAGGTAATATACCCAACCGATCATCAAATAATTGTTATGGTACACAGATCTATTTTTTTAAAAACGTCTCTGATGGAATTCAAACTCTAGACCTACTACTTGGGAGTGACAATTTAACTACTACTCTAAGTCGCTACATTTTTCTTTATAAAGTTTCAAATAATATTAAATTGAAAGTTTTTTTATATTTTGAAATATAATCTACAATTCTTTGCTATTATCTTTTGCATTTTTCATAATTATGTTTAGAATATAAACTGGCTCTTCTGTAAAGTTGACTGAAAGATTGGCAAAATTCAGACTTTTAATATATTCTTCTCAAAAAGAACCTTAACAAGTTTTTGATTGGTTATATATTTATAGAATGTCTCTAATAATATAATTGTTCTAACATTGTTTAAGTTGTAATACTAGTCTTCTTCTTTCAGAATTAGATATATTTGAGACTATTTTTATGTTTTTAAGATTATTTCTATTTTTATATATATATTTATAATAGCTTTGAATATTTCTTGTACTTGTTTATTTGTTGCTTTAATTAATATATATGTAATATCTGAGATATCTAATGCTGTGTTCTTTTCAAGTCTGTTAATATCTTAGACTATTTAATTCTATAATGTTTTCATTAAGACCATTGTACTAGGCCTCTTATATTTTTTTTCTAGAGCTATATACTTTAGTTCATTCTTTATCTATTATATCTTGGAAATTTTTTACTCTAAATTGATTTTTAAAATATTTACTTGTATTCTTTAATACTTCACTTGAATTAGTAATTACCTTTCTTGTAAGAATATTTTTTCAATTAGTTTATCTATTTTAATTTTTTTGATTAGCTTATCAAATAAGCTTATCAATATCTTTTCTTGTTGTTTATCTATTATTTGATATATTTGTTTGATATTTCTATTTATTTCTTTTCTTCTAATCTTCTCAAGTTCTTCTATTCTTTTTTTATTAAAAATTTTTCACTAATCTTTTAGGTCATCAATTACTTCTTATATTTAACAATTTTGGATTTCTTCTATATAAGTTTCATAACAAAAATTGATATATTTAATCTGTTCATTAAACACTTAGATATCTTTGATTAAATACTATAGTTTAAGGTTTTTTTATTCAAGTTTATTTATCTATCTAGATAAATTATAAGTTGTAATAGTTTAGATTTCTTTTTTTTTTAATTTAGTTGCTAGTATATTTAAAATTTTTTTTAGATAGCATTTTCTGAGCTGCTGCTAATATGTTTTTGTTAATTAAACTTTATAATTTGTTTAGCAAATTTTGAGTTTCTTCTTTTGAAAAGTAATTGTCATGACTGAAACTTGAAACGGCTGAAGCTTGAAATGACTAAAGCTTGAAATTTTAATTATTTTAATATAAAATTTTTAAAAATTTTGAGGTGCATTTTTTTAACCTTTTTTCATAATTAGATTAGGTTTTAGAATTAGTTTTGATAATAAAAGAATATAAGTAGATTTTGGTAGAGTTTATATTTTTAAATCAAGGTCTCTAATTTTAAGCTTTAGCTGTTTCAAGCTTTAGCTATGACAATAATTATAATTTGAGATATTTTATATTAATTTCTTTTGTTTTTAAGAATTCTTTCTACTTCTACTCTATAATTGTCTTAGTTCTTTTTGGTTGCTTTATTATATAAAAAACAGTTCTAGTATTTGGTACTATTAAGCAAAAAATTAATTTTAAACTTTTAATACTTAATCATAAATCAAATTAGTTATATATATATATATAAATACTACTGTAATAACTAATAATATATAGTAAATTTTGTATTACTTAAACTATAAAGCTTTTTTAGACAAATTTGTTTAGAAAATTTACTATAAATATATTTATAATCTGCTTTTTTTAAATTTTAATATACAGTTATTCCCCTCTATAGTCACTTTCTCTATAGTCACAAAATCAATATAATCATATTTATTTTTTTACCAACTATTTTTATATTATTTATACTTTTATATAAATACAATTGCTCTATAGTTACTATCACAATTTTTTATTTACTATCTATATAATGTATATATAAAACTACTTTCACTAAAGTCATATCAGAATCACAATTTTATTCGATCTACTCTATTCTGAATAAAGATATCAGCAATTTGCAATAGTATAACTTGTATATAAATCAGATTATATTACAAAAGTAGATTTATTACAAAATTTCAACTTCTAAAATCTTGGCAATATATAATTTTGATATCTAAAATTTTAACTAAACCAAAACAATTCAAATAATATATTTTTCATTAGTTAGGATTAAGATGGAATAAAGATTGTATATACAGATAAAGAAAAGGTTTTATAGTAAAATTTTGTACAGAATTTTTTTTATTGGAATCTAAAGAATAGTTTTATATACTCAATTTTATATTATAGACAATTTTTGACAAAACAAACATTTGTTTTAAATTTTTGCTTGTATATTATTACACCTGATTTTGAAATTTGATTAAAAAAATAATATATAAAGCATATCACATAACACAATAAATAAATTTACTTTTAATTTAATACTATATTAAAACTAGTATTTTGTATTAGTTTTAATATAAGTAAATTCTATTCATTAATATAAGAATACAAAACTTTCTCTAATATTCTGTTTATATACTTAGTTTATAGATATGCAGCAATATTTTTAATTTAGTTTTTATCAACCTAAAAAAGTTTTTTTTAAAAAAACACTTATAAATTTTATATTATAAATTGATATAATATTTTTTGGCTAATATAGTGCTTAACAATTTCTTGAAAGGGGTGTGGCAACTTAGTGTAGTTGGTAAGTTGTTGCACCCCCAAGTGGCAGGACAAGAGTTCGAATCTCACTGGCGACAAAATTCGAATTTGTGAAAATGCGTTACAGTAAAACTGTATAATATATCGATCGAGTAAGCACCTGTGACTTTGGTCTCACCAACTCGTATTGGAAGGTTGTGAAACGTAGTGTGATGCATAAATTATACAAAACCCGAGTGAAGCA